TCCTGGGCTGACTTTGTGGCCTCTCTTTGTCCACAGCAGGGTGAGCAGCAAACCCAGACCAGCCGAGCTCAGCCGGATGAGCGCAGCCCAGAGACGGCAGCTGCTGTGAGTACCGGCTTCGCCCCTCGAGGCTCTGCTCTTGCTTAATGCTGACTCTGGGTGGCTGTCTTCCTTCTTCCTGAAGAGAGAAGCTGCAGTGGGTCCTGGAGGCAGGTCCTGAGTGCAGCAGCCAGCTGCCGAGGGCAGCGTTCCAGGGGACTGCCACACCCTCCACGCTGTGTCCCTTCCTTCCCCTGCTGGGGCGTGTGCCCTGGCTGCAGTTAGCCCCCTGTTAGCGAGGCCAGGAACCCATCAGGAGGGCCAGCACCCCATTGTCTGCAGAAGTTGGTGCCCTGGTGTTGTCCTGAGTGAAACAGGGTCCATCCCGTTTCACACCGTGGTGAGGTCTCTGCTCCCTTCAGAAGCAGTTGTATTCTTTGTCTCGGGTGACTCTGCCGAGGCATTTCTTCATTCCACCTTCGTGTGGAATGCTCTTCAGTGTGCTGAAGCCCCCTGTGCCTCCTGTGCATGGTTAGGACCTCTGGTTGCTCCTGGGGGGAGCTTGTGTTGAACCGGGGCCTCCTGTGTCTGGCTCCTCTCTAGAACCATTGTGCCTCAGCTGGGCCTCCCTGTCTCCCACATCCTCCCCTAACCTGTTTCACTCTGGATACTTTCTGACCCTGAGTTTGTGTCTTCTTATAGATTTTGTGCCGATTTGAACCAACTTCTTCATCAGCAGCTTTGAAGGCAGTTTGTGTAGGCAAAACCCCTCTCTGTGGCCTGCTGCTCCCTGTCCGTCTCCCTGCCCCAGCCTCTCCCGGAGCCCAGCCTGCCCAGGCAGCTGCCTCTGCAGGGTAGCTAGGTAGGGCTGTTGCTTCCTAGGACTTACCCAGCTCCAGCCTTGTGTGTGTGGTGCCCAGTAGTCTCCCTTGTCCCTGTTGACTGCACTGCCTTTGGAGGCTACTCAGGGTTGTGACCCCTGGCCTCGTTAGGTTGAGTTTGGTTTCCTGTTGTTTGTGTGCAGTATCTGAGGGGAGAAAGAGGAAGCAACTTGTTTACTAACTGGATTTGAAGCCAGAATTCTAGATTCCTCCTTGTGTCCATAGTACCTTACCAGTATACATGGGGCGCTCAGATCACCCAGAGAATTGGTTTTCTTGACCCCAAGACCTGAGGGAAGTTTGTGCTTCGTCCCCTGCATGCTCAGGCAGAGCTGTTCCTGAGGGGCACTGGCTGGGCACATGTCTCAGTGCTCCTGGGGGCAGGTGCCACTGACCGAGGAAGGGGCTGTCTTCAGGTGGATGGGCACCCCCAGTGGTGCAGTGCGCCCCTGGGGGTCAACCCAGCTGCTAGGAACCAGGAGCCCTGTGCTGCGTCCAGGCAGCCTCCACCCACACATGTGCTTCCGAGCACCTTTCAGGGAGTCTTGGCTCCCTTGCCAGCCCTTGGCCTTGGCTGAGGCACCAGACTTCTGAACCCAGTTCAGGACTTTGCCACCGGCCAGCAAGCTCACTGCCAGGGTGGCCCAGGTCCTGGCCTAGAGCCCATCACTGAGTCCTAGCTATGACTGACCAGCACCCCAGTGGTCTTGCCTGGGCCAAGGTGGCAGCCTTCTGCTGCAGGGTGAGACATCGGCTAACAACTGGCAACACCCTGGGCCTCCAGGGCAAGGCCAGAGGATGGGCTTGGCCCTCTCTGCACTCACTCAGGCTGTCCCTGTGAGCCCTACGCAGCCTGTCCTGGAGCCTCCAGCCTCGGTTTCACGTGTGGGATTTGCACCTAGGTTCCTTTTGTCACCCCCTGGTCACCTGGCTGAAGTGCAGAGTACAGAGCTCTCCTGTAGGGTGAGAGGGCCTGGCCCTGTGGTCTTGTGCATCTCCAAGCAGAACAGGCTGGCTGTAGGGGTCAGGGTGGCCTGGGGCTGTGCCACCCTGTCACCATGGCACCCAGGTCCTTGGTGTTCTCCCCGCCTGCTCGTGGCTCTCGTGTGCATCTATTTTGGGCTTGCCAGGGAGAAAGCCACCTCTTACGTAAGGCAGCATGTCTGGGGTGTGCGTGCTGTTGCCACTCCCCATTCTCAGTTCCTACCTTAGCAGCAGCCCGTCAGGCCCCTCCTGGGCACGCTGGGCGACCCCCACTATAAATTCCACAGGTGGGTCTAGGGCTGTGAGGAGACTCCAGGGCTGTCATTCCCCATCTGTCGGGTTTCCCTGGGAACTGAGCACTGTGTTCCACGTATCCACTCCAGTGTCTGGGATTGGGGAGAGGTCAGTCCTGGGGTATTGAGAGCTTGCCCTTGGCTCTCTTCTCTGTGGGGCTTAAGGGGACTCCTGCCCTGCTACCTGCTGACCTCTGGTCTCCATTCTTTCAGTGAGGAAGAAAGGACCCGGTTTCAAGAGCTGCTGACCAGCCCAGCCTACAGAGCCAGCCCCCTGCTGGCCATAGGGCAGCAGCTGGCTCACCAGATGCAGCTGGAAGGTGGCAGCCAGCTCTAACAAGGGCAGCAGTGTGCTATGAGCTCTGAGGGACGCACATATGGACAGAGGTGCCCAGAGAGGGCTATCTGCCTCTGACTGTCCCCTGAGCCTAGATGGACATCCTCTCCCAGGTCTTTGAAAGCAGTCTTTAGAACAAATGGAGGACTTCATGGATTCCTTCCTATGCGTCACCAGGCCCTTCCCATGGGTCCACTTCCACTTTGGAATCTCCTGCATTTCCTACAGCTGGGCTGACCCTAGGACAGCTGCCCCACCTCCCCTCAGGACAAGCCACACCCCCAGGCTGGGCTCCACGCTCCTGTGGTAGACACCAGTGGGTTTGCCAGGCCTGCACTCAGACCACCTGGACATCACCAAGAGGCACCACCGATGCCCTGCTGCAGCCACAGCACATCTGGAGAAGGAATCTCACTGCAGGTGACCCTGATCACAGGGAAGGCCTAAGGACAGCACCTGCTTGGTGAGCTCCTCCACAGACGCAGCCCACAGGTCCCCAGTGCTGTGCAACCCCGTGGGCTCTCCCTCAGCAGCCGCCCTCCCTCCTACGTGGGCCTCATCGTCTGTGGGCTGCAAGCTGTGCTCTGTGAACTTGGGCACAGATGGCCTTGCACAGAGGCTGCCCGTGACAAGAACAGATGGGCACTGTGGACAGGCCTGTGAGGGTGCACACAGCTCAGTGGGGCTCGGTGGCTGGGTTGCAGGTGGCCATGTCTTCCTCGTGATAGTTGGTACAGCCCGAGGTGTCTTCCTGGGGAAGGTGTATTCGTGATGTGCTATTTTAAGAGAGAGCTCCTGGCTTCCTGGTCTTCAATGTTTTGTGTAACCTGGCTGTCCTGGCCCGTGGCCACCTCTGGTGATGCACCTATCAGGGCTGGGGGCCCTGTCTTCTGCCTGGAAACCAGGGCTACCTTGGGAGAGCAGACCACAGGCTGTGAAGCCAGCCTCCAGCTTGCTGGGAACAAGGATAGGAGCCAGGGTCCTGGGACATGGGACAGACTTAACAGAAGAGGAGCTAAACGGGCACCCCCTTGCCTGCGTGGGCCTCTCGGTCGCCCAACAGAGTGGGGTGTTGCCTCTCTCTTCACAGGAGCAGAGCACCTGTCACCCAGTGTTGTGCTGCTGGGGCACCTCGTGGAGGCAGGGTCTCTGGGCAGCGTAGGTCAGGCTGTTCTTCCCCAAGTAGCCCACCACTTCCCCAGCCGCCCGTGTGGAGGGCGCTGGGGTCTGAGCGTGCTGCAGCAGCTGGTCTGGGTCACCTCTGTCTTCATAAAATGAATATGAAGGTTTTTAGTGAGGTTAAGGGAAGAAGCCTCGGTTCAGTTGTTTTCGTGAATAGACCCTGGAGCCCTGAGTTCCGATTTAAAGGGTAAATAGCAGATAAAAGCCCTCTGAGGCCCAGCAAGGCCATGGGGCCTCCCTAACAGGCAGAGGCTGCAGACCCTGCTTGGGACGCCTCATCACGCACAGCACTGGCCCACGCACAGTGGGGAGGCGCAGGCACATGTCTCCTAGAGAGTGGGCGCCTGTAGGGCGGGCAGGGTGCTGCTGGAGTGGGACCTTAGTCTTCCAGAGGCCTGTGCTGTGGGAGGAGGTCAGGTCTGGGGTCAGGCCTTTGAAGGAGTGTCAGGACCCCGGCCCTCCTCTCCTCTGTCACCTCCCTGGCCACTGCGAGGTGAGCAGGCCCAGAGCGCAGCCAGGCGGTCATGCGTGAAACGATGGGACAGAAGGAGCCCCCTCCTTCCAGGTTCCTTCTTCCAGGGTTCTGTCAGCAAGGGACAGCTGACGATGGCTCCCTGGAGGAAGGGGCCCACACAGTGGGGTCTCTAGGCAGGCCCAGGCCATTGCCCTGCACCCCTTTGTCCTGAGCTGGGCTGCACCTGCCCATGGAAGGGAACTTGTGGAGGTCTGGGGAAGGGAGGGGAGGGGACCAGGACCCAGCACCCGGGACACACCATCCCTAGGAAGCAACCTCTGCCCACGGCAGGCCCTTCTCCCTGCTCTGGCAGCCACGTCCCAGTCACCAGCTGCCTGACGAGCAGCATGGCAGACTTCAGGCTCTGCCTCCACACCCCCATCTCAGGGGGCCTCCCTTGCTGAACAGCGTCGTGTGTGCGCGTGGCAGATGCTGAGGTCGGAACTGCGTTCAGTGCCCACTGGCAGCCGTGGCAGGCGCAGGACACCCGTGTCACTGAAGTGCACGTTTCCCTGTGGCTGCACAGGGCCTGGGGTCCCCAGGCTGCCCTCCCTGCATGGCCATCAGGGGACAGCGCCTGTGCTTCTGGCTGCTGGTGTTGCTGACAGCCGGGTGTCTCGTGGCTCCAGCCGTATCCTGTGTCTGTCTGGTCTTAGCACACCACTCAGCCTCACTCCTCGTGATCTCATCTTAACCAGTCCTGTCTGCAGTCACTCCCATTTCCAAATTTGGCCACATTCTGAGGTCTTTGGACATGAAATTTGAAGATGTCCTTGGGTTGGGGGTTTCTTGGGTACCAGAACTTTTTTTTTTGTACTGAGGATGGATGGAACCCAGGGGCGTTTTATACTGAGCCGCACCCCAGCCCTTCCTGTTTTTTGAGATGACGTCTCACTAAGTGGCTGAGGCTGGTCTGGAACTTTTAATCCTCTTGCCTCAGCCTCTTGAGATTACAGGCAAGCACCACCAGTCCGGCGGGCCCTGCAGTTCTAGAAGCCCCCATCCCTGCCTGGTGACACATGGGTTGGTGGGGCAGGGAAGAAAGGTGTTGGTGACACAGGCGAGGACCTGTATGCAGCAGAGCTGGGCTTGGGGTTGTGGGGAGGGGCCCTGCCAGAGGGGCTGGGCTGGGAGGCAGGACTCTCTCTTTGAGGTTGAGCACCTGCACGCCTGTGCCTGAAGGTTCCCTGCTGGTTGTGTCCCTTCATTCCTGAGGGCACAGACCCGCACTGTAGGGTACCTAGAAGGGGTGCTGCTGGGTGAGTGAGTGGAGGGCTGGGTGGCCGCGCCCTGCACCTGGCTCCCACGTCCCCAGCAGCCCTCCCCCTCGGTCTCCATCCACCTAGAGCCTGGCCTCCTTCCCTGCTGTCAGGGCCATGAGCCAACTAGGGCACCCAGGAGGAGCAGATGGGTTACCCCAGCAGGGGGTCTGGGAGGAGGTGGAGGGGGGCCAGGTGGCCTGGAAGCAGCAGGGCCTGTGCCCGGCCCTGAGGGGTTGGCCTGCCTGGCTTCACACTTCCACACTGAAGTTGGTTGGAGGCATGACCACCCTGTCCACAAGGCTTTGTTCAGAAGAGGCTGTCTCTGGCTCGTCCACCCCCGCCTGAGCCACAGCATGGCTACTGAGTGAAGGCTGATGAGACATCGCCAGACGTGTCCTGGGCAGGTGGGCAGTGGCCCCAGCAGAGCTGGAGGTGGGCAAGACACCTATGCTGACGCGGCTCCCAAGCTGGGAGGCTCCTATGCGGCTCGGGAGCCAAGTGCTGAACACACAGCAGGCATGTTGCTTCTGGAATGTTCCTTGTGCAGTGAAAACATCATCCGAAACCTTGGGAGGTGCTGGCTGCCACCCAGGTCCTGCCTGCATGTGACTCCCCGGGATACCAGGCCTCCAGCCTCCAGCGTGTTCTCCACTGCAGCCTGTGACCTGGCTTGGGTTTCTGAGGATGCGAGGAGCTGCAGGCTGGCAGATGGCAGGAGGTGGCCCTGCTACCTTCCTCTGAAGCCCTGCTCCTGGGGCATCTGGCCTTGGCTCCTCCACAGACCCTGGCCCTATTGTAAAGTCAACGAGTCCCAGTTGGGCTGTATTTTTCTTGTAAAGGTGTAAAAATAATGTGAGTTAAAACAGTGATTTCAGGCCCACTCCTGGAGCTGGGTTGTGTTCGAGTCTTCCTTAAGACTGAAATTGAAATGTCAGAATTTTGTAGGATGTCACTCGGAGAAAAATGAGCAGTCACTTGTGTTTCTGAATCCAGGTGCTTCTTCCTGAAGGAGCAGATGCAGAGGCTTTGGGGTCCCTGCAAGGCCTTTTGGGGCCTGGGGCCTCATCCCTCTTGTCCACATCACCAGAAACAGGCTCTGGAGCCAGAGACGGGCATCCCTGGCTGGGAAGCCCAGGGGTGGGGCTTGTCCTCCCTGGTGGGGAGACGAGGCCCGAGGGGAGGCTTCCACCAGGCCCACTAGACCTGGAGAACCAGGTGCTAGGTGTGGGGCTGCTCCCTGCCCGTGAGCCTACCCCCAGGCCTTCCGCCCTTGACCCAGGGCAAGTGAGGTACACCCATACCACGTGTGCACCAGATACTGCACACACCTGCAGACGCACACACACACAGGCCTCCAGGCACCTTGGTTTCTCATCTGGAGAGAGATGGTTTCATGGAGGGATCCTGATTCCCCTGGTGTCCCCCAGTCACCTCAGTAGGTGACAGGCAGGACCCATGTCAGGACTGCCGGGGCACAACCCCCACTGCACCTCCTGGAGTGAGCCACAAGCCTTCTTGTCGTTTGGTGTCTGGGTTTTCTGGAGAGGCGGTGGTCTCTTCCACCCTGGCTCTCCCCTCCGCTGGGGTCGGGAGCCGGTTCTCATTACCTGATGAGGCGTGACTGGGGGCTGGGCACACGGCAGGCCTCTGCTCACTCTGCAGGAAGGATCTCTACAGCGTTTCTTCTCACCTCCTGGGACCCTGGCGTCTCTGGCATGTGGCCCAGGATCTGACTGGAGCAGCCTGGCCTGCCCAGTTGTGGCCCAGCTCCTGCCCAAGCCTGTCCCTTGGCAGGGCCATGTCTAGCTCCACCCCATTCATTCAGCCATCTGTTCTGGTGTGATCTTTGTCCAGCCCCTGCCACGTGCTGCAGGAGAGAAGAGACCCATCCCACGTGAAGCTCATCTGTGGATGTGTCAGTGCAAGACTTCATGATGCCATCAGCAGCCCAGGCGCCACTGTCTCGTACTTGTCCTCATTCTAGAGTATGGCCGAGCAAGCCCCAGCCATCACATGCACATCCCAGGCAGGAGGAAGAAGGAACTAGGAAGGTTACTTCTGTTCTCTTGTAAAAGCTTTTCTCCAGGCCCACCCAGCCATGTCCACTTCCACCTCTAGCCAGGGCTGGTGTGATGGTTTGGTCCCTGGTGCAGCAGTGTACAGTGGTGGGGCCTTTGGGATGGTGGTTGGGTCATGGGGACTCCGACCTCATCAGTGGATCCGTCCAGCAGCCAGGAGCCGAGTGGCTTCCTCCCCACACAGTCCAGCTGCTGTGAAGCTCTGCCTCAGCTGCAGCCGCTGGCCATGGGCTGAGCCTTAGCCCTGATCCAGATGACCTTTCCCCTCTGAATTGTGCGAGTCGTGGGGTTCCAGTCAGCAGCGAAAATGCCATCCAGTGCACCCAACTGGCGTCCCCTCCCCAGGTGGGAGGGAGGTGGGGCAGCAAGGAGAGCTGAGCGAGGGGAAGAAAGCTCCTTCCTGGGAGCGCCCTGTTCCTGACCACGTGACCCCACCTTGGTCAGAGACTTGGCCAGGGCAGCGGGCCTGCTGTGTCCAGTGCACCCTGCTGCCCTTTGAGGTTTGTAGTCAGTGGGGCGGGGGCGGGGGTTGGTGATGCTGCCATGGGGCTGTGCACGGGGGCCAGGACACTAGTGGGTCTGTCCTGCAGCCAGACTGGGCATGCAGGCCAGGAAGCCCTGAGCAGAGGACCCCACTGTGCCCCTGATTTCCTGGCACCACAGGGACGTCCTGCACCCGCAGCTCCACCTGCCAGCCGTGGAGACGGGGCTGAGGGGATGTGAGACGCCCACAGGGTTCTTCAGCAGTGGGTGGTCGAGGCCATCTCTTCTGGCAGTTCTGGGTGGGTGGGGAGTTGGGGGCCTGGGTGCAGCCCTGACTGGTCAGCCAGCCCTGCTTCCAACACCTTTCCTGGAGGCCACGAGGTCCCAGGAGGGGTTGGCCTGACAGGACCCCTGAGTTCCCACCCAGTGACCACAAGCCAAGGTCTGGACCTTCTCCGCAGGAACTGACCACATGGATGTCCATGGGCTGCCCTCAACTGCAGGCCATGGTCTGTGCTCTAAGTTCCCCTGATGAGGCGGCAGGTCCTGCAAGTGCTTTTCACAACCAGTGGGTACACACAGTGGCAGGGGGCTGGCAGCAGGTGTCCAGCAGAAGCAGTGACCTGGCCCTGGGGATAGTGGGAGGAAGACCACCTCCTTGCAACTGTCTCTTCTTAGCCCAGGATTAGGCCCAAAGTCCCAAGGCAGGATGCTCCTGTGACAAGAAAGCTGTTGCCCGGGGTGCTGGTCTCCACAGGGCCCAGCTTGGGCAGGAGACTCCCATCTTCCAGAAGGGAGCCAAGTGGAGAGGAGTCCAGGCTGTGACTGGCGCTGAGGCTGACCCTGTGGAGCCTGGGCCGTTGGGTCTATGCCCTGGGAGGGCACCTGTCCCCTGCAGTACAGATGTGGCATGAGATGGTGTCAGAAGACCTCAGTGACTTGCTTCCAAAATCACTCCCTCAGGAGGTCCTCCTGCCGCAGCTAGGGACAGTCCATGGCCTGTTGAGCAGCCTGGGCAAGGATCAGTGCCAAAACGTGCAGGACATCCTTGACTGGCACAGAAGCCCTGGTGGGGCCTGAGCTCGGGAGCCCCCCTGCCCCTGGCCTGTTGCTGGTTCCCTGGACCTCCCTCATGACCAGCTCCAGGCTCTGTGCTCCCAAGTTCTGTAGTGAAGGGCAGCTTTTGTCCCTGACCTCCCTCTCGGGTCAACTGGGCTCCCCACCTACGCATGGGGCTCCGGCCCCTCCTCTCAGCACTAGACCAACCTGGAGTGCCACACCCTCTGTGGGCACAGGCTAGGTCCAGCCATTGATCTGTCCTGGAGGGGGTGGGAGCTTGGCTGGAAGCCAGGCTCTGGGGAGAGGCTGCCCCAGGGCCGTGAGCCTGAGGGCCTGGGCTCAGGGGCCTGGGCTCCAGCTGTGATGTGGCTGCATGCTGGCCCTGACACAGCCAGGGGCCCTCACCCTCTGTCCTCCCGGGGTTTAGGGGGTAAGGTTGGGCGGCCATACTGAGGCCACTGTGAGGGCCCCTGGTTGCTGGTTTGCCACCTGTGTGGGGACAGGATCGAGCTCCAGGGCCTATCTGTCCTGTACTCGGAGGGTGGCTTGGCACCTGAATCCCCAGTGTTCAGCCTCAGATGGTGCCCGGCCATGTTCCTGCTCGCCAGGGCTCAGCGAGGAGTCAAGGACCTCTGCCGGATGGGCGGGTGCTGAGTACAGAGGCACCCAGTCCTGCCAGATGGCAGGGCTGGGCAGTGACCACATGACACAGCCCACCACTCCCTTGCCTGGGGGCGGGGTCCAGTGTGAGACCCCTCAGGTTGTGAGAGCAGCTTGGGGCTTCTCATCTGCGGGGTCTGGGACTCTGAAGCTCTCGAAAGCTGAGATCTGAAGACCTGTGGCCTTGGCTGCCTTCCACAAGAGCCTGGAGGCACTCAGCCATCCCCAGGAGGGGAGCAGGGATGGCCCTCCAGGACAGGTAAAAGGCTGGCCTGCTCAGGCGGTTCTGGGTGGAATTGGGGGCCTGGGTGCAGCCCACTGGCCAGCCTACGCCTTCAGGTGGCCTGCAGCTTTCCAGAAGGCCCCATCCACCCGTGGCTTGGCTCAGGGCCTCTGCCCACCCCAGCCTCCAGTACCTGGCCCTGAGCACGTGGCTCATCAGCAGCAGTCTCACTGGGCTCCCTCCAGCTCCTGGGAACTCCTGTCTGCTTTGCCACCTCTGGGCCCCTACAGAGACCATTCCCCTGCCCCACTGCAGACCTGTCCACCCCTCCTGGCTGCATGGATCACTGTGTCTCCTCTCAAGAGCCTCCTGAGATCCTGGAGGCAGAGGCCTTTCAGGGCTGCCGGCGGTCCTGCCCACTCTTCACTGCCCCCTCCTGGGACCCCGCACATCTGGGCCTGGATGGGGGTCTCTGCAGAGCTGAAGGTTTACTTGTAGCAACTTGGCCCTTGACGCAGGCTGGGGTTAAACTCAGGGTGGAGTATGTAGGAGGCCTGGGCAGCAGGCAGGCAGTCTGGATGACTCGCCTGTCCCGGTCAGGATGTCTGGGGAGGGGCTTGCCTCCTCAGCACCCACAGGTAGGTCACCTCGTCCATCTCTGACGTGCCACTTATTACTGTCAGTGTCACTACTATGTGACGAGATTTGCCGTGTCCAGAGCCTTGGCATGGGAAAACAGCCAGCCGGGGTGGGCACCTGGAGCACAGCTCGCAGAGATGGTGGACTATCCGCAGGGCTCCCCGCCCTGGGGCCCTGCTCCCCACAGGCTGACCGCACCGGGCTGGGCAGCCCTTCCCCCGTTACTCCCCTCTTTCCCTTGGCTGGGTCCCACCTCGCTGCATCAGGCCTTGATCTTGGAGAAGTCACTCAGGATTTTCCAGAGTCTTTGGAGAAACACCTGCCAAAAAGCACAGCCACCAAATAGTTAAGCTGGACACTGCCAGGTGTGTGCCACCAGCCCTCCCTGGGATGGCCGTGGGCGTGCACACATGCACACACTGCCCCCCCTCCCCCAGCTGCTCACCCAAGCCTTCTGCCAGTTAGGCCAGGCGTTGGCTTTTCAGTGTGGACCCCTGGTTCAGGAGCAGGTCCTGCTCTTCCGGGCTGTGCAGCATTTTCAGAAGAGGCGGGACCTGTCAAGCTGCTTCCTGCATCCGCTGAGAAGCTCTGAGCTTGTTGCTGTTTCCCCCGCCAGGCCTCCGGGTGAGCCTGTTCAACTCCTCAGGCCCTGGGACTTTGTGTTCCTGAGGTCTCATCGGGGTACAGAGCAGTCCTTAGCCTGCTGAATTTCCTTCCTGGGGCTTCATTTTGGAAACTGGCCCCTGCTCATGGGTGACTCGCCTGCAGCCTTTGTTCCCATTTGACCTTCCTAGGAAGCAGGGACTTCCTGGCTGTGTGCCTGCCCATCATGGCTGAGCCCAGCAGAGGCCTTCCTGCAAGACCCTGGGAGGTGCTCTGCATAGCACCTGTCAGCTTGTAGTGTGTGTATGTGGGGTGCATTTGTTACTAGTCTGCAGATGTGGCCTCTGGTGAGCTAGGTCCTGCTGTGAGGACCACATGGAGCTGAGCAGAGTTGATGGCTCACAGTGGCCTTGATGCAGGAGCAAGACGTCAACAGAGGCTGCTTATGCCTCTGAGGCCTTTCTTTGAAATCTCAGTGGAATCGTCCCTGACCCCCTACCTCCAGCATCCTGCATTTCTGCAAAACCAGCATCACATGGATGACACTAGCGTCTGCCTCCATCTTAAGCAGTAGCCACACCTCCAGGGACCATGGCTGCAGCAGCCTCTGAGTGCCTGGGCAGCCAAGCACAGTGAAACAACTTGCTAGGAACTCCTGTTCATGCAGGGTGCACTGGTCTCTTCTCAAAGGAATTTTTACTTTTACACCCTTGACCCTAGATGGGTGTGGTCTTGCCAATTCCTGGGATCCCCTCAAACCCTCTCTCTTATTGTTTCTGGGTAAAGTACTTAGCATTTCTGTAGTAGTTATAATTTCTTTAATAACCATATCTTCCTTGGCCTTAGTTTTACACACTGCAAGTTTTTCAATTTTTTTTGCTCTACCTCCTACTCCTGATTATCAAAGTAAACTTGGCTAGAAGCCACCAGCAATATCTACACTACCTCCTGAATGCTGAGCTGCCTTGAAATTTTTTCCACCACATTAATTAATCCACCACCTTTAAATTTAACCTCACAGAAAATCTCAGAATGTGGGCAAAATGCAGACAACTTCATAGCCAGAACATAAGACAAATGGCCTATAGTCCAGTTTCCGATAGAGTCCTATTTCTGCTCTGCAACCTAATGAGCCCAGTCTTTACTGTCCACAGTCCTGGTCTTCTGAGCTCCCACCAGAATTTTCAGTTAAGCTATAACATTCTAAAGTTTTTCCAGCTTGCAACTCTGAACTTTTCAAAATTCCTCCCACAAACAAGCTCCATAGCTTCAGAACCGCATGGTCAGGTTAGTCACAGCAAATACAGGAATCCCAAGCCCTTGGCAGATAACACCCCTGCTGAGAAAATGAGTTTCTCCTTCAATCTCAACCCTAAGAACTGGAACTTGTCCAGCTATGCCCAGGAGAAAACCGGGCCTGGAGCCTCAGGGTGTCAGCCTCCTGCTGAGAAGACCCCACCCCTCAGGCCAGGGCTTCTCTCCCCTGGTGCTGCGTGGAGAACCTCTGGAGTCACCCTCAGACTCAGCTGCCAGGGAGTGTGTGTGGGGGTGGAAGTGGCTGGGAGCTCCGGGAAGCTGTTTAGATGAGGCTCAAACAAGCACCATCATAGATCATAAGCAGCTGTAAAACAAACTTAGCCTTGTGATAATATTTTGGTTTTGTTTCCACTATACACACCTAGAAAAATGTGAGCAGCATCTCAGCCTAGTGTGAGTGCATGCCAAGAACTATGGCCAGCTGCTCTGCAGCGTGCCTCTGTGTGCCCAGAGGGCCACTGCTCAGGCAGGCCGCAGAGGGAGAGCCCAGCAGGGTCTCCCTCCTCAGCTCCTGGCAACGTGACACCAGGAGGTGGGGTATGAAGTCAAAGCCTCACTAGCTGCCAGGCCCCAGACGGGGTGCAACTGGACTTGGAGATCCTCACGTAAGACTCCCAGTTTATAGTCAGCCCTCCCCTGTGAGGACAAGGAGTGGGGGCCCAGAGCCATGGGGCCACCCAGGGGCCTGGCTGCTGCCAACAGGTAGCAGCATTCCAGGGCCACCTCTGCTTCTCTCAGGGCACTGTACCCCCTGTCCTGGAGGGCACCAGGGTTCCTGCTCCCATTACCTCCTCACTGTGACATCTCTGCCCAGAGCACACCTCTACAGGTGTACCCACCCTAGGCTCTTTTCTCCTGGGTCACAGACTTAGAACCATCTGTGGGGAGGGCCAAGCCTATATCTCAACAGGTCAAGGCCCTGGCACCCTGCGGATGACCAGAGATAGACCAGGAGCAGCTGATGTTAGCCATCCTCCATGTTGGCACCTTGATGAGGCCCCACCCACGTGTGTGACCCACACAGGCAGCAGGGCCACACTGAGATGGGGTGTTGTCAGTGAGGCCTGTGTCCTTGGGCTCTTTGTAGTGTCCTGAGAGGGCCCTGAGGTCCAGCTGCAGTTTCCCACCCTTAGGGTCACAGAGCTCAGCTGCAGTGAGCCTCAGGATGCTGCAGGGGCAGAGCAAGGGGACTGTCCAGGTGTGTCCTGGTTGGCTGGTGCTGCGATGGAGCAGTCCCTTTCAGAGGCCGTTCCTCCTACACACAGATCTAGCCCTTTGGTGGCCTGTGGGCCTATGGCTGTGGGCTGCAGGGGTGCTGAGAGCTTGGGCAACGGTGATGCTCATGGGGTGGCCAGTGGAGGTGGCAGTGGATGCGTTCTGCCGAACGCTGCGCTACAGCAGGACTCCCATCCGACGGTGAGACCTAGCAGCATGTCCCTTATGTTCAGTTATTCAATACTCGTTAGCCACTGGTCCTCAACACACCCCACAGTGCTGAGACAGGGCTGGTGTGTGCATGCCTGTGTGAGCGAGTGTGCGAGCATGCGTGTGTGTAGATTTTGTTTTTGCCCCTGTGTGTGTGTGTGTGTTGGGGGGCAGTCTTTTTGTTCTTGAACTTGACCTTTTGTGTGTGTGCGCTGGGGATTAGAACCCAGGGCCTTGTGCATGCAAACACTCTACCAACTGAGCTATATCCCTAGCCCCCTTGGACTTGACCTCCTGGACCAAGGCCTCCATTTGCTTGGGGCAGGGGCCTACAAAATAAGATTCTGTGGCATCAGTGCCCATGGGAGCCGGACACCCACGTGCTCTGAGTTTTCCAGGGCCCTTCATGTCCCCACTTAGTGCTGGATTCCAGCCTGGCAGGGGATCTGAAGAAACCCCTGCCTCCTGCCCTGCGGTGGGGTTTGCCCATCTCTCGGAGCCTGTCAATCAGATGGTTTTTCCAGGAGTCGGATCACAAACACTTTCTGGAGACAGCTGGCAGAGCTGCCCGCCTCCTGGGAGGGGAAGGGAGCCAAGAAGCTGCTGCCACCACCCTGGGACAGTGGAGCACGACTGGACGGGGCCCTGTCTGCACACCCTGGCCTGCAGGGGCTTCTGTCCCCACACAAGGGCCTCATTCTCTCCTTGGCCTGGGAGTAGATGGCCAGGGAACTGGAGGCAGGCTGGTCTCCTGAGGGCCAGAGGAAGGGTGGGTGGGGTCCTTGGTGACCCTCAGCAAGAGTCATCCCTCAACACCGGCTCAAGCCCTTGGTGCTCTCTGGGCTTGAGGTTCCTGTGCCTCCCCCATTCTGGGTACCAGGTCCTGTCCAGAGGGCCTGGGCAGAGACTGGGCAATGTGGATGCCATGGGGCCCTGCAGGCGTGGCAGGGACAGAGCTGCTGCCTGCATGGAGGCCGTGGCTCTTGCCCCAGAGCAGCTGGTTGGAGGGGACCCTGACTCCACTGTCTCCAAGCCAGGCCCCAGTGGAGAGACCCCATCTAGAGGTGGCTCTGCGACCTCCTCCCAGGCCCTGCCCCACTTGGCAGGGAGGACACGTCGGCAGATGGGAGGAGACAGGAGGAGCCTGGTGCCCTGGGTGCTCTCTGGGCTTGAGATTCCTGTGCCTCCTGTCGCCTCACAAGTCCCACAAGTCCAGGTCCATGTGCTGGAGCTGTGGCCAGGGAATGTGGAGTGGGCAGGAGCAGGGGTGCAGGAGGCTCTCAGCCCCTCCACTGGGAGGAACTTGTGAGGGGCCCCAGTCTAGGCTGTGCAAGCCCTGAGCTCCCAGGTGGCACTGCTGGGGCATGTCCCGACAGGGCAGGGGACATGGCGAACAGGTGGGGAGCAAGGGCGGGGGCCTCACCTGGCCTACACCACCCACTGGACTACCTCCCCTGCTCCCGGCCTCCTGACCTGTGGAGGAGGGACTTTGGAGCTTCTGGAGCCTGTGGCCCTAGCTCTAGGTTGGAGACCCCTCTGCCATGAGCCAGGGGAGAGAGAGGTTGGTGCTGCTCAGGTGATGCCCACTGCCCCAACATGCCAGCCTCCTCACTGGACAGGGACATCCAATGGCACCAGGAGAAAGTCCAGAGCGGTTCTGAAGCAGGAAAGACAGGCCCAAGTGGCCCTTCACTGCCCTTTCCCAGTCCACTCCAAAAACCATTGGCTGGTGGGGTCCAAGTGTGCATGGGCAGTGACGCCAGCTGGTCAGGTGGGATTTGCGGCCATCTGTGGGGGTCCAGGGGCCCAGGGCCCTGCTCTGCTCTGTGGCTCCAGCTGCCTGGCTCTGTGCCCCTCGGTGGTGTGGGAGGGAGCCGCTGTGCGGGAGGCAGCGTGAGCTCGCACTCTCGCCTGCAGGAGAAGCGCCTGTTATTTTTAGTCTCATTGTCAGTGTCACTGGCGCACGGAGGACGAGGTGCCTCTGCTGGTCCCATTTTTAACACACCTTGGAGGAGGCTGAGCAGCAACATTGGTGCTTCTCGCAGCCCTGGGCAGGAGCTTCCCTTCCCAGTGTGGCCCAGGGGCCAGCTGGTCCTGGCCCAGGGGCCATCTGCACCTGGATGGTGTGCCCTCCATGACGTCTGCCAGGCCCCACGTCCCCGGGGCAGGAGGAGGGGTGGCAGGTGGGCCTGAGCCATCTGGGTGAGCAGGGGTTGGCAGCCAGAAAAACCCCATCAAGAGGAGGCCATCCTCAGCCCGGCAGCACCCAACTGGACACTGGCTGGACATGCTGCCCCGAGAGTGCAGCTTCCTAAGACTGGGGAGTGGATGGGTGCCGAGGCTCAGAGCTGTGCTGCTGACCTCTGGACAGACCGCAGAACTGCTGCCCCCAGGCCTCTGCTTACCCTGTGGCTCCTGCTGTGCCCAGGAGCCAGTGGCTGCTCAGGAGCCTGTGCGCTGGGCCTCCCTGGGTCGGCCAGTGATGGGGCCTCCCGGACACAAGCCTGTGAGAAGGAGGAGCTGAGGTGGCTCAGGGACTGTAGAAATCCCAGCACGGCTCTGCTGGTCCAGATGCTATTGCCACGTCACTCCTAGCACCACACTGGGCTGCCACCTGCTGCCCCACCCCTGCACAGTAGGAGGCGTGGTGTTTGGTTGGCCAGGGGCCGGCTTGGTCCTGGGGTCAGGACCACAGTTAAAACCTGTCACCTCTCCTGGGCACGGAGCCTGGATGGAAATGAGCCATCGTGGATCTGGAGACTGCTTGATCCATGGTCCAGCCTGGCCCATGCTCTGGTGCACCTGGGAGGCACGGCTCCCAAGGGACACATGGCAGATAAGGCACCCGGGCTTTCAAAACTAGAGTCCCTCATGGATCTGTGGGGGGCCATCCCACTAGGTGACCAGCATTTCCATCCTCTGATCGGTTGAGGCGCTGTTGGTCACTTCCAAGTGATCTGGCCACATCAAAGTGGCTCTAGATGGCTGCCCTGATCTTGGAAGTCACAAAATGTCGCAAAATGTGTCTTCATGCGTAGGCGCACCTTCCTGCAGCCCCAGGGGTCAAGCTACGCTCACTGTTCCTTTGTGATATCACCCCCTTGCTGAACCCTTGTTTGGGATAGAATGTCCCATGGAAACGCCCTCTGTGTGTCCCCTTCTCTTGCTCTGCCTTTGGGTGTGGCCTTCCTAGACGTCAGTCAACCTGCTGACAGTGGACATCAGGAAGCTAGACTCTGCCCCCTGAACCCTGACCCCTGGCCTCATTGGAATGGCTTCTCCTCAAAAAAGGGTTCAGCCTGCGCTTGCTCTGTCTTTCTGTGGACCCCTAAGGTCAGAGGAGCCATCACAGGGCCCCCAAAGAAAAAGGTCTCTCTGTCTCTGTGTGGTTATTTCGTGTAGCCAGGTTCCCTGGAGTGACCCTGAGTGTTTTAGTTACCGGGAACGCGACAGATCTGAGTGTCTGTCTTTGGAAGAGAAGCCTGCGCTCCCTTCTGCCGCCTTTCTCTGCAAGCTTCAGGGTCCACTGAGTGAGAATGTCCCAGGCCAGGACATTTCCCGTCATTGTGTGATATGTGCAAACTCTGCAACAGTGTGCCAATCTTTGCTGTGTGTGGTATTTTCCAAGAAATCAAAGCTCCAAAGAGCCCTTCTTGTCTTCGGAAACACTGTGAAGACATCCTCTTCTCTTGACGTGACGACAGGGATGTGTCCAGCTCACCCTGTCCCCTGGGCAGTCACTGAGCCAGGCCAGCTGTGGGGCTCACGGCTCAGTGCACCATGACTTGGAATCGTGGCCACAGCAGATGTCACAGGCCCTGGCTCTGCAGTAGCGAGTCCCATCCTCCCACATTCCCCTGCATCCCCAGGAGAAGCACCTTGTGCCAAAGACGCCCGGCCGCCTCTGCCGCCTGCCAGGTGAGCCCCGAGGGCTGTGGCCCAGGTGAGGTGCTGAGTGTGGCTCTACCTCCTCTCCTGTCCCCACTGACTCGTTAACGAGTCAGTCAGCTGTGGTCACACGTCTCTCCTTGCCCAGCCAACACGGTGCTCTGTGACCAGATGGGGACTCTCATGAGGGTTCCAGCCCTGAGTCTGTGGCACTCCAAATACAAGACAATGACAAGACCTCTCTGCAGAGTGTCGGCCATGCTGGTGGTCACTTCACGGATCTCAGCTGGCTCGGCATGGACTTCACTCTGCGTGCAGGAGGCTGGTCAGCAGCACTTCCTAGGCAGCGGTCTCAGGACGTGTGGAACCCGTCTCCAGCTCTCGGCACATCACCTCAAAGTAAACAGCCCATCCTCCTCGGGGCAGTGTCCTGAAGAAAAATAACCAATGTGTCACTGCTGTTGGTGACATCATTGCCACCCTGGTGCCTGAGAATTGGCTGGGAAAACAGAAGAGCAGGTTTGGAAGGTCAGTGGGACGCCTCCCACCAGAGCTGGGAGAGCCAGTGTCCCCTGCCTAGCAGAAGCCCTCTGCTGTGTGGGGGCTGGAAAATGACCCCAAGGTACATTCACGGAACCCTGCACCTCACTTGATTGGCAGAGCAGATGTGGCCTGTGGGGCAGAGGGTGTGTCGGGCTCTGGGATTCCAAGCAAGGTCGTCCTGGGTCACCTGGGCGAATGCCCTCACCTCTGGATGAGGAGTCCCTGGGACAGGCAGAGTCAGCTGACACTGGTGGGAGAGGAGGGTCCAGGATGCCGCCTCGAGGTCCTGCAGGGCGCTGGGGAAGCAGGAGGAGCTGGAGTCGCACCAGTGAGGCTGCCAGCCTGTCCGCTAACGTCTGGTCAGGGCGTGGCTGCTAGCCACCCTCCTCCTGAGCAGAGCCCCAGGTCAGGGCCTGGACACCAGAGCAACCTCTGGCTGTGGCCCGGGAGCTGCAAGCCTGTGCGGAGGTTCCCTGTTTAGTCACCTAACCCTGGAGGGAGCTCAGGCCTGTGAGCAGGTGACAGTGGCACACACCGGTACCCACAGGCTTGAAGGCCCCCCAAGGGTCTCACACACCTTTCCAAATGAGGAGCCCAGGCCCGCCAGGCTGCACCGTAGGACCCTATTCACACGACGTGCCGGAAACGGCAAGCTACAGGACGGAGGTGGACATGGTCCAGTTGCTGGCCCTGCTGTGATGGCCAGGCCTCTGTGGGACAGGACCCAGGCCTGCCAACAGGTCTTCTGGCTCAGGCTCCTTGGGACTCAGGTCCAGTCGTCCTGGGGTTGTTGCTGAAGTCGTCACCACAGGTTGGTTGCCTTCGGGGGGACTCCATCTGGCTGAGGCCCCTCTGCTGCGTGACCTGGGTGACCCAGCTTCCCCTCTCAGGTTGGCAGCTGTCCCTGGTGGCTCGTGAGGAGGTGGCAGTGGGAGCCCAGGGCACAGGTGGGAGAGGCTGACCGGGTGGGAAGACTGAGAAAGGCCAGGGCTGGAGCAGGAGAACGCCATCTTGGCCACGCAGCTCAGGTCAGCGGGGCCAGGCAGCTCACAGGGATGCTCAGAGGAGGCCTCGAGAGCAGCTGGGCTTCGGGACTGACACCCCTCTAGCTCCATGCTGTCCAAGTGGCCTGGCCAGGGCCCGCTTGCCAGGAGGCAGCTGGCTCGTGGCCAGGCTGGGACTGGACGGGGCCTCCTGGATTCCCAGCAGCACTCTCCCACGCCCCCACGAGTGTCTGAAGGGGCGGCCAGAGTCCAGCTGTTGTGCTGGCCCATCTCCCAAGGGCAGGCGTCGAGGGAAAGCTGACCGCCTGCAGGATGCCTTGGGGACCAGTTGCCTGGGCTCAGGACATCAATCCCAGAGGACGTCAAGCTTCAGGTCAGGGCGCAGGCAGCCACGCTGACCAGACCCTGGGCTTCAGCCCCCAGCTGGCCAGGACTACCCCGGTGCAACCGGAGGGGCCACAGCTGCCTGAGGCGGGGCTCGCCTTGCCACCTCTGCTGGGACCAGCCCTGCTGACCCAGGAAGGGGCTGGAGCTTCCCCTGCACCCCGGACCCCACAGGCAGCCCAGCCCACAGCCTCAGCCCGGGCCTCACCTGGAGTCTGGCGTCTGCCCTGCCGTGTCCCTGTGGGCCCCGCCAGGGCACGGATCCATCTTATGACACTGTAAACACACTGTACTCAGAATTAGAAATCGATGGCAGTGGGGGCTGGGAGGCTGTGGAGGGCGCAGGGGGGCTGGGCGCCGGCCAGAGGCTGCCGCCCGGGCGAGATGCCAGGGAGTCGGATGGGCGTCCGGCAGGGCCAGCGGGGCTGCTGCTGAGAGCCTCGGGGGAAGCGCAGGGTCCAGGGGCCCAAGTCCTAGGAGAGCCCCGTGCCTGGTGCGCTGCTAGACTGTCCTCCTTGGCAGGCAGCAGCGCCACCCTTAGGACCACACAGCACAGGGTTGGGCTGGCACTGGTGTGTGGTTTTGATCATAGTTGCCATTTTTTCAAAAAGATCATGTCTTGGAGCTGGGGTGTGGCTCAGCGGTAGAGCGCTCGACTGGCCCGTGTGGGGCACTGGGTTCGAACCTTAGCACCATATAAAAATAAATAAATAAAGTAAAGGTACTGTGTCCATCTACAACTAAGAAAATTAAAAAAAAAATCATCTCTTACTGAATTAGGAAAAAAAGAAATGATTTACACATCTTAGAATTCAACCTGTCGAAGGCCTGGTTCAGGGGCACTCAGTGGAGGCACCACCATCTTCCCCAGAGCTTCCTCATCCCCCAAACAGAAAGTCCAGCGCACAGTAGCAGCCTCCAGCTCCTGCCCTCCCAACCCTGGAGCCATCATCTACCTTCTTCCTCTATGCATTTCCCGTTACTGTGACAAAATGCCTGAGGCAGTAACTTAATAAAGAAACAGATTTGTTTTGGCTCATGTGCCAGAGGTTTCAGTGACAGTCACTGGGCCTTTTGCTTTGGGCCTGTGTGGGCACCACACACCACGGTGGCAGCCAGGAAGCCAAGAGTGGGGGAGGATCCAGGATCCCGAGGCCTGGTAGGGACACCCATGGCCGGTCTTCCCCCGTGAGGCGCTGCCTCCTAAGGCTCCACAACTGCCCAGTGCACATGAGCTGGGGCCTGGCCTTCAACACATGGACCTCTAGGGACGCTTCAGATCCAGCCATGGACCGTGCCTGGAGCCTTCCCTCATACCCATGTTGGAGGGTCCCTGTGCAGACGGGCAGGGTGCACGCCTCTTGGTGGCTATGGACACTCCCCTGCAGAAGCCGCCACTTTCTGCCCACCTGCCGCTGGTGAGCCGGCTGCGCTGGCCTTTTGGGTACTGTGAAGGATGCTGCGTTAAGAACCTCGTGGGCAGGTTTCCACGTGGACGTGCTTTCCCCTGGAGGCACAAACAGAGAGACACAGGGACACAGCCTGCAGCGCGTCCCAGCCTCCGCTAACAACTGTGAGAGTGTCTGTGTGCTGGCCTGTTGTGGCTCCACTGCTGTCCCTCACTTCACCCTTGAGGGGCCGCTGCAGCGTGGGGGCTGCCCCTTGGGCAGGCTTCCTCTCCCACCGCTTGGCCTCGGGGTTCTGGGGAGAAGGTGGCTGTCAGGCACATGGAGGGGCCCTGGTGTGGCATGGAGGGGCCCTGGTGTGGCATGGAGGGGCCCTGGTGTGACTGGCCACTCTCTTGCTTTGGTAATCAAGACTCTGTGTCGTGCGCTCTTAGGCCTGATGGTGCGGCGTGTGCTGAGGGGCCCCAGTCCTCCCACTTAGGTCTCCCGTGGACCTGCAGGGTCGTGCTTCCTTCAGAACTGTCCCGGCCTCGCTTTTCCGACGTTCTTCCTGCCATCCTCTCTCCTCGGCCTCCGGGACTCCGCTGTGTGTTGTTGGGCTTCTCCATTCTCTGCTTTTCTGTTGCTTGAACCAGGTGGGAGTCCTGTGGTCAAGTTTGCCGATTCCGGCCTCGGCTCGCTCCTCTCTGCTGATGAGCCCCTGGTGAACATTCTGTCTCAGTTACTAGACTTTCCACGTCAGACTTTGCTTTTCAAATGGCTTCTTTCTTTGTTGACACTCTCTATTTGGTGATATGTGGTTCTGCATTTCCTTTAGGTCTTTAAACACGTTCAAAGTCGCCGTCAGTCTTAGCTGGGAGGTCTGATGTCTCCGCTTCCCAAGGACAGTCTCTGTTGATCTTTTCTCCACGTATGGGACACGTTTTCTCTCAAGTCTGCTTGAATATACGCTTCCATTTCCTGGGGAATACCCAGGAGTAGAGTGGCCTGGGAGGCACCTGATGACCCTCTGAGAGCAGTCGAGCTACCGTGGACACGGCTGGGCCATCTGATATCACCAGCAGCCATGATGGTCCACATCCTCTGCAGCCTTGTCTGTGACAAAGTGCTATGGGCTGGGTGGCTAAGCAGCCGAACCGTCTTCTCCCAGCTGTGGAGGCTGAAGCCCATGGTCAAGGGGCCCATGCTGGTTGCTGGCGAGGGCAACAGGCTCGAAGGCGCCTCTGCCTAACCCACCCTGGCTGGCCTTTCCTGGTGTGCACAGAGAGTGCCCACTGACCTCCCCCTTACAAGGATGCCGACCCCCTCAGATCCCCACCTGAGGACCTCATCTTACCCCCTCAGATCCCACCTGAGGACCTCATCTTACCCCCTCAGATCCCACCTGAGGACCTCACCTTACCCCCTCAGATCCTACCTGAGGACCTCACCTTACCCCCTCAGATCCCACCCTGAGGATCTCATCTTACCCCCTCAGATCCCACCCTGAGGACCTCACCTTACCCCCTCAGATCCCCACCTGAGGACCTCCTCTTACCCCCTCAGATCCCACCTGAGGACCTCATCTTACCCCCTCAGATCCCACGTGAGGACCTCACCTTACCCCCTCAGATCCCCACCTGATGACCTCATCTTACCCCCTCAGATCCCAACTGAGGACCTCACCTTACCCCCTCAGATCCCCACCTGAGGACCTCATCTTACCCCCTCAGATCCCCACCTGAGGACCTCACCTTACCCCCTCAGATCCTACCTGAGGACCTCACCTTACCCCCTCAGATCCTACCTGAGGACCTCACCTTACCCCCTCAGATCCCCACCTGAGGACCTCATCTTACCCCCTCAGATCCCCACCTGAGGACCTCACCTTACCCCCTCAGATCCCACCTGAGGACCTCACCTTACCCCCTCAGATCCCCACCTGAGGACCTCATCTTACCCCCTCAGATCCCACCTGAGGACCTCATCTTACCCCCTCAGATCCCAACTGAGGACCTCACCTTACCCCCTCAGATCCCCACCTGAGGACCTCACCTTACCCCCTCAGATCCCACCTGAGGACCTCACCTTACCCCCTCAGATCCCCACCTGAGGACCTCACCTTACCCCCTCAGATCCCACCTGAGGACCTCATCTTACCCCCTCAGATCCCACCTGAGGACCTCATCTTACCCCCTCAGATCCCACCTGAGGACCTCATCTTACCCCCTCAGATCCCACCTGAGGACCTCATCTTACCCCCTCAGATCCCACCTGAGGACCTCATGTTACCCCCTCAGATCCCCACCTGAGGACCTCATCTTACCCCCTCAGATCC